TCGACCCTGTTTGGTGAACATAGCTTCCTGGCTCTGTCATACAAAGACAAAGGACAGCAAATTTACTACGATTTGCCGAAGCAATCGCAATCAAAAGACCTAAACCAGACTTATGCATACAGAAAGAGAGTGTGATTAACCTCTCACTCCCTTGGTAACGGAATTTTGATTTTGATTAGCCATCCAATTCAGTGATCTCAACTCACTGAACAAATCTTAATCTCATAAACTGTAACCGCTTTTGTTTTTTGAGTTCCTATGTGAACCTACAAGCTAACACTGTTCTGTTAATCAATTTTTTCTGTTTTCTGTCTTACCCCTCCCCCCTCTTTTCAACTTTAAAAGCGTATAAATTGATGATGAAAACTTAAACTAAAAACATTGTAATGCTTTCATTTAGATGCGTCAATTTTATAGTATCTCTTCTCTACCACCACTCGAACATTAAAGTATGTTATTATCATCTATATAACCATTGTAATTTCAGGTAGTCTGCAGCTGATGAGAACCTGTGAAATAGAATGATGACATCATTTTGTACTGCAAATTTCGTCTTCCTTTCTTTATAGAAATTTATCAAGGGAACCAAATGTATGTATTTTTTTTATTTACAGCCCGATTCCACACTCTATATATTTGGTACAAATATGGAATTTTCGGCATAGATATCGGTAGCCTAAATTTCGCAGGCCGACCATAGATATCAGGTGTGTGTCGGCAGGGGATCGAACCTCGAACCATGTGCATGGTCGGCGAGAGTCCTAACCACTGTGCCACCGACTTTGAAATTGAGTGTCACAAAATTCAGACCCTTAGAGATAGATAAATTCACCCAAGTGTTTAGGTATCTAGGATTCGGGCGTCTTGCACTGACTAGGCATCTTGAACTAAGTGGAGTCTCGTAAACCTGAGATTAGCTGTACTCAAAAGAGTGAGGAAAGGTATTTCAATGTTTCTGTAACCCCTATGGGTCTGGATATCCGACTATCGACTAAAAGGCGGGTGTACTACCCAGTATTCCGCTCCGTCCTCCTTTATAGCTAGCTGTGAGACCTGGCCATTGAGAGTGGAAGACATGAAAAGATTAGCTGCCTTTGATCATAGGTGCCTGTGCTCTATCTTCCGTGTCAAGTGGTACAATAAGGTGAGCAATATTGAGGTTAGGCGTCGAGTTCTAGGTAAGGAGGGGAAATCAATTGACGAGGCTGTGAAATTACATCAATTGAGATGGTCAAGAAATGTGTTATGTATGCATGCCTAGTCATCGCCTTCTCCGACAATGGGCAATGTTAGCTGACATATGATTGGTCAGGCTGGAAAAGAGCTAGCGGCGGTCAAACCAAAACATGGCTTCATCAGTCAATGAGATCCACAACAGTTAGTTTAAGTCAAGTAGGAAGGTGCAGACTTCTTGACTGGTTGGGGTCCTCGGGACGGCAAACATCAATGAAGGCTGGGAACCATTGGTGATATGGTTCACAATCGTTCTCAATGGCTGACGCAGATTCATCCACTGCTTGTGACTTATGATTTCCAGTGAAACTGTAGTGTTCTTCGTTGTTACTATTCCCTGGGCTCACACCTCTATTTCTTCTACTTTCTTCTCTTGCTTTACGTGCTACATGGAAGGAGTGTGGCAACTTGGACTGCTGCACATCGATGCAAAGTTCTATGTCGAAAACAGACAGAAAGACACGCTATAAGGCTGGAAAACACTACTAGTTTAGTGTACTTGACTTCCGACGACTCACATCAATCAATCAATAGCATGCATTGTAGCATATTGATTGTATCCTCTGCAAATGAACAATACCATCAGCTTAGATTTATTACTACAGGGAAGGGTTTATTTTCGAGGGAAAAACTACTCAAAACTGTTGTGATTTTCAAGCTTTTAGGCATTTGATTTGTTTGAAGTCTAACCACGAATTGGTATCAGTTAGAGAACCATTGGAAATCAGCCCTGCAGTACTGGAAAGCTGTTTCGTCAGCCTAATTTCGGACTCATCGGCTATACACACACATACGCCTGGGTTTGAACCGAGGATTTTCTGCTTACAAGGTGAGCTCTTAGACAATTAAGCCACTGGGACCAGATTCAATGGTCCATAAATTCCACATTCCTTCAGTTCGTGGCATTTTTAGCACGACCACTGGGGAGTGTCATAGGCACTTCTCTGTCTTCACCCCAAACCTCATGGATCCCCCACAAAGTTGCCCGGAGTCTTAGTAAGAAGTTGTGATCTGTAGGGTCTACCCAGTAGTGAGTGATGACAGATAACATTGGCCGGTTACAGTAGCGGTGAAGCCATGAATTCGTAGAAGTTAGAATTCATAAGCAAGTGAGTCGTATCCCAGTGGCTGAATGGTTAACGAGCTTGAATTGTAACCGTTAGGTCCTGGGTTCGAATCCCAGTGAATAGGAGGTGATGATACGTCCCGAACTAGATTGACTGTCAAGTTCTCCAGAACAGGTTTTCAATAGTAACTTAACTGACACTAATCCGTTGTCACACTTGTGCAATTACCTCATCATAGAGCTTCACGTTTCTCGCTTATGCAGCTTACAGAAATACTACGTTGGACTTATATTGTCAGACGACTGACACCACAACGCGTAGAATATTTGTAACTTATTTTATACTACTATAAGTAGTCAAGTGTTAAAATCGAAATTTTCACTGAACATTTGTGCATCACAAGTAAATTTGAATTCATTTAGCGATTCGCATATTACATAACCGACATACTACACAAAAGCAGAGAATTGTGAGAAAAAATCGATTCAGGCTAACCAGGACGAGTAAGCATGTTCAGGAGAAGGAACAGTCACACGAAAAAGCTTAGTTCATATGGACGATCATCAAGAGTCGATTAGTTTATCGGCTCTGTTCAAAACGACTTATAGCCATTCCCGGAATAGCTTCAAGCCAAGGATTTTCAGCATTCCGAATACCAAGACCAGGCAGTTCCCCCTCCCTATTTAGCTGGCTGAAAAACACCATCAAAAACTTCACAGAGTAATGCCAGGTTTCGCCGCTACGCCGCCCCTGGCTCTTGTGTAACTGAATCCTATTTCACCTGGCATGACTTAACGGGGAAGTCGGTGGTCTGGAATGCATGATATGCGTCCGATACATCTCAGTCGATGTAGCTTCATAACCATATTGATTGAATTATTCTTATAACCCAACATTTAACTCTTAACCCCAATGTTGCTTATCATACTATTCTACTTAAAACAGAACATAGATAGCAGATATCTGTGCTTAAAGGAAGCCTTTATATCTCTCGCCTTTAATGTCCATGTTTCACGGTCATTGAGGAAGACGGAATGATTTGTCGCGTATTATCCACATTCTTTTACTGATATCTGGAAATCATATCTACTCCAGAGATAACGTAAAACAGCATATGCTCTATGAGCTGTTTGCATCGATACTGAGACTCGAATAGTGCACTAATCTTTTTTCAAACTGAGAAGCGTTTGAGTTTAAACACTGTCTTTGGCTAAGAAGACAAGTACCTTCACCGATGGTCGCTGGTCACCATTAATCAAGATCACATCGTATTGACCTTCATATTTCATTGAGGCATCTGTGCTAGGAGGCGACATGACAGCCAGTAGATGCTAGTTCTGTTCATCTACTCTTACCAAACAATCAACCAGTTAGTCAATAGCAAATAGCTAAGTTTGGTTTGATCACCCCGGCTAACTTTTCTCTAACTTGAACCTAACCATGTTGGCTAACATCACGGAATGAGGAAGGCGATGGTTTGTCATGAGCAGCATGTATCCTATGCAATCTCAATCAGTTCATCTTCACAACATCGAAGACATCTGGCATTTTCATACCTTCCAATCGAAATGTTCGTGTCTCATAGACATAAAGAAGGATAGGGAGAGAGAACTTCTGTTCAGTATACATGTCCTTTGATCAACAACAGGATATCACGTCATCTGTGTCGGAGATGACAAAAGTTGGCAAAATGTCACACTAAGCTGACTACACTACTGACTGACAGATTTAAGTAGTTGAATACCTGTCAGATAGAAATGATCTAAACGCCATTCGACGACCACTTTGTTCGTGATTGCCATTGAACTACTCAAATCAGTCAATCAGTAGTATATGGAATTCAGTGAAGAAATAAATCTAAAAAACCTCACTGGTCACGACTTTTTACTAGATCTCCAGGTAACTCCGACCTGTAGCCATTCACTAGCGAGCATCAGATTAATTTTCAGTATTTGATTTGTTTTTCGAGATCGACCACGGATTGACATCAGTTGGAGAACCACTGAAAACCACTACTGGAGTAGTGGACAGCTCTTTCGTCCTAATTGTGGACTCGTCGACAGTAACGGGAATGGGAACAGTCAGATCATCTGCAAACTTAAGAAAACTGATATCATACCATGGTCTAATTGGAAAATGAAATCAAACCACTACAAACCAACCCTTAAAAATTAATCTGATGCTCGCTCGCTAATGACCATGCTACAGGACGCAGTTGCCTGAAGTGAGTTCTAGTGGGAAGTCGTGGCCACTTAGGTTCATCTAGCTGAGAGTGAGGATGGGATTCCCACCTATGGCATTGGTTGGTGGTCGCACAAAATGCATCACTAACTGGTAGATGTTAGAATTCATCGACTGGGCATTATATTGGGCCTCATTGGCTGAATGGTATAGGAGCTTGCCACACTAAGACGAAACAGCTGGTTGTCCAGTACTTCTTGGTTGGTTTTCAATGGTTCTCTAACTAATATCAGTCCATGGTCTTAATCGATAAAATAAATTAACTCTTGAAATTGAGAACACCACTAATGCGAATTAAAACATCATCAGTAACTTTGTATATATTTACAAACTTTTAGATCAATAAAAATTATTGAATAAGTTGAGATTAATCGATTAAGAAATTAGGGAAGCAAGAGATTATCAGAAAACCAGTCGAAAAAAAACAAAACAAGACAGTGTTTCAAATCGATTTTGGTGCTAAAACCCTGATTCGAATAACTGTGGAGTTGTCTGCTTCTGTGTAAAAGTCAAATTTCCTGATGAGGAGGACGTTGGAAGAACTGGTGTTGACAACGGTGATGATGATGATGCGATTGTGTTCAGGGAGTTGAATGTTCCTTCTTTCGCTGTCGTCGTTGTCGTCATCATCATCATCATGTACTTGCTTTTTATATTCATAGCTGACAGCATTGCCATATCGCTCAGGTCATCTTGATCTTGTCGATTACGAAATCCTTTGGCGAATGGATTATTATTAATTTTGATACGTATAACATCAGGATTTTGATAAGCGGTAACTGTATAGAACTGTGTTCCAGGTATAATATAAGCGCCGATTAATTCCAATTGGTCAGATTGTGGAAGACACACCATCGATGAATTGTACTGTGAATGATTATTATTATTATGATGATTGGAATAATTCAAGTGGGTACCGTTTACACGGTTAAGGCGGACAACAGATATTCGTGGAATATAATAATGCATACTGTGGACTTGAATCTAGAAGGATTCGAGATAAACAGAAGAAGAAGATGGTAAAATAAATGAAATTGTTTGTTTGCTTATATAGAAAGCTTTTCAATACATCGTATATGGCAACAGTACAGAATAGGCGCCAAAATCGAGTGACCTTGAATCAGTCAATCAGATCTTTCCAGGTAAAAAGTGTCATTATTGTACGAAAAGGCGTGCTTATGAGACTAATATTTGTAATAAAAATGAATTACCCAGGGTATATATCTCTAATATCCTGCAAAAATCAGTCCAAATTTCTCATAGGAGTGTCTCTGGACATATAGATCCAATGTTAGTTCAAAATTCATCTGAGTGGCTATATATTATATCATATCGGAACCATTTACCATTTCAATGCGTTATTTAAGATGGGCCAGGAATCCTTCAATGGAATTTATGAGTTCCACTTGTAGGACCCGTTAATTTGGAAGAATGATTGACTTTATAATGAATATAGCTTAATGGCGTTAGTTGCGAATAACTTGGCAGTGTCTGGAAGGACTAGTCGTTGTATTATTGGTATTAAAGTATCGGCACTTCTGCTTGAGATGCCTTCTGTTATTTCTTTTCGAAGATTTGTATCGTACAGTCTCAGCACCCAAACATCGTATGCTCTTCTCCTGTCACAGTGATTCATTTTTCGTATTATAAGTATTGTTTCGCCAATATGAACGACGACATCGATTCTCCCAAGTACACAAGTAATTCCATTGATCTTTTGTGGCGCAATATCCCGATAGTGATGATGCCACTGCACTGTTGACATTCGATTTTTAACTTCATCATAGATATGCTGATGGAAGTATCCTTAACCGAACTTAACGACTTAGGAATCGACTTGTTACCAGGGAATAGTCTTATGGACTTAGAATATGCAGATGACATAGTCCTGTTAGGGGAGGATGCTGACAAAATCCAGCAGAGTCTTCTGAACACCTCGAGCAGCAATCTTCGTATGTTTGGCATGCGATTCGCCCCTGTAAAATGTAAGATGCTGCTACAGGACTGGACTACGTCAACTCCTGCCTAGCTTAGTGATAGGCAGTGAAGTGATAGTGTGTTGAGAGCAGGCTGCTAGCCGATTGGTTGACATTAATCTACGTCAATGTCTAGGTCACTAATATGGGCCGTGAGAAAATATGAACAAGGCTGTTTCAACAACCAATCACAGCCTAGACTTAAACGTGGACAAATATGATTCGCAGATAAATGGCTCTACTTTCCATCCGAGGAATATCGAAAACAGCCAATGTTTCGATTTTGAGAAGAAGGTATCTAAGAAATCAACATAATGTACAGCTTATCAACTCCTACAGACTTCTTGCTATGACAGTGGTGGTCGCATCTGAATGCATAACCATCAGTAGCTCGGAAATACTTCTAAAGAGTCAACATCCCTCCATGTATATGTATATATTTTATTCCTCCCTACAAACACATTTTACACCCAGAAGTTAAAAACCAAATCTCAGTGAAAGTTGTAACATCCATTTGTAATGATGAACTATCTGATTGGTTGGTTCAAGGTCATTTGACTTTGGTGTCTACTGTTTACTGTTGCTTCGTATATTTAAAGGTGTACAGGGATTTCTTTGGCTTCAGGTTTGACCAAGAGGTTTAATGAGTTCTAGAACCATTAAAAACAATTAATTGGGTACTGATTTCATTCCTATTTGAAACTCTTCAATGTCACAAACCCATGATCGAACAATGGATCGATTACTATGAGATCCATTCGCCCATTTATCTGCTGGGGAGAATTTAGATGACCCGTGGATCTAATGCTCACAGGTGACTGAATACAAGATGGAGTTTTCGGGAGTTCTCCTGAGAAGTCACGTGTGTGAGGACTAGTACTCGTTGATGTCATTGTCTAAAGGTTGTGGTATATAAATTGCAAATCAACAGATGTTAGAATTCATGGACAATTCCGTTCCATTCCAGTAAATGAACAGTCAGTGGGTTGGAATTTTGATCTAAAGGTTCAGTATTCGTCCCCCACCCTAGTGGGTGGTGTATGGTGGTGACAAGTCTGACAGAAGAAAGAAAAAGGTTTCCAGTCATTCTGGTTTTCAATGGTTCTCTAACTAAAGTCAGTTTCGCTATAGATGATGCTGGACATCTATTTCTGGGGTCAGTTGTAGCTGGCGGTTTTATTTGTTGTTGCAGCCACTTTGGAATGTGTTCTCTAGCCCTAATCTGCAGAGACCGATGGATCCTCCATATGTACGTATCTCCACACATACATGTAAATTGATAAACACAGTGGGATGTGACATTGTCGTTCGGATAATGTGAAGGTTTACAGGACAGCATAGTTCTCGTTTTCTCAATGAAGATAAGTTTAGCTGCAAAATAAAGTTCTATTAATTGCGGCTTTGAGTCTTTTCTAGTAACCAGAGTTTGTTGATCACCTCTGAATGGCAAGGATATGTAAACATCCTTTTTGGGAGCTGACTGGATTGGTAAAGCTCTATAGTTGACACTCCCGTAACGCCTAATAAATCTCAGTGGTTAATTGTTATCTAACAGTATTTCAGTGAGGTGTTGTCTTTCTTCTTCAATTGTATCGGCAGTACATATACGGTGAACGTGCTTGAACAAACACTTAACCAACGTCTTTTTATACTGTAGTGGACAGAAACTATGATAATTTAGATACTGTCCAATCCATGTAGAATGTTTTTAGACAAATTGTTTTACTGCTCCATCTGCTATGTGCGGGTTATGAGTACATCTAAAAACAGCAGGCAACCATTATTCTCTTTTTAATGTACGTTAGAGATATACCGTTTTGTACTCTGTTGATATAGTTCAGGATTTCTATGGCGTCTGTCGGTTGATCACAAATGACTATTTTGTCATCTGTATGTCTCTCTTAAATTCAATTTATGATGAAAAACTTGGAGACAATTAGACTCAATGCACAGACGTACTTCAGAATGAATCTAGCACTCTTTGGTGACTGACTATGACTGCAGTTCCAGTGAGACTCATGGCGTCCACCAAGTAGGGTGTAAGGAATACCGCTCACCAGTGAAACTGGCAGGTAGTGCCACTAAATGTATTACGAAACGACAAAAGCTGCCTAATTGAAATCCACCCCATTATCTGAATGGCCAATCACTTGCCTTGCAATCTGGACATCTAAAGTCTTACTACTAACTTCTCTCTTTAGTTACAGTAATAATAATAATTTATATAACATTTCTCTAATATAACTCACCATATTTTTATGTGATTTCAATTCTTTACTATTTGTTATCTTAACCCGTGTAAAGTTTACTCCAGACTCCATCCAATAAGCGCCAGTTTTAGGTGATTCTTCTTGAATATAATATCTCCCGTCTAATGATGAAGAAATCACAAAGAAAAGAGAAATAAATAAATCTGTGAAAATATGATAACGTATACGCGCGTCGGTGGCACAGTGGTTAGCACGCTCGCCAGCCATGTATATGGTCCTGGATTCGATTCCCTGCCGAAGAACTCCTTTACCCCCCTCTATACCAGAAATAATGCTGGTAAAGAGGAAAGGTTGGGCATGTGGCGGCTAGCAATCCAATCCTGTAAAAAATTAACACTGCTACAGAAACTTCAAACCACTGGCTTGAAGCCCTATCTTCCACTGGGGAATGTGAAGGAAAAACAAGCATGACTGATCACGTTTTGAATATAGTTATTTCAGGGACGACAGTTGGCTACACATTTTCTCTCTTCCAATGAGCCTGTTGTTTAAGCAATACTTAAATACTAAATTTGGATGAAATTTACTGCGTAATCATCGGTGTACAGCACCTATAATAATTATTATAACCTTCTTTAAGAAATGATGAATTTCAAAATTAATTATTTTGTGTATTTAACAATTCAGAAACAATTGCTATTATTTACATTCGTATTGTACAGTTCCACTCGAGAGTCTATCTGGTGTATGGTGTTGGTCAACTGTCGTTTCAAGAAGTATCCAACCCACTTCGATTTTTGATATTAGTATTAAATTTGAGCCCTGTGATGGTAGAGTATAACTCCATTATTATGGATAAGATTTTATTTTTATAAATCACACAGTAGTGTTGTACAGTTAAATTAACTGATGACGACGTTTCGAGCACAAACTATCGCCATTCATAATCATATCAAGGCACTACTCACACACAACTTTCTTGCTTCATTTATATACATAAGTAAAAATTGATGATTAGACATTTGAATGAAATCAATATAAGATAGAGTACATTCGGAAGCAATATTAGTTTTATCAGTAAAATACAATTAGATGGCATTTAAGACGAGTGTTTTATAGTCAAAATAAGTAACTTGTTAGAATGTAATCATATATGTGAATTGAAATAGAATTTTAAGATTATTTATTATCCTCCTCTGATTTGACTGACTGACTGGTGGTAATAATATCTTCCATATCTCTGGTAATTGCATTGAGTCATTTCTGTTGCATGTGTTGTGTTGGGTGTAGACTCGATGAACAAGGCAGGATTCAGTAATCAACCTCTCTCTCCACCTGCCCATATTACTTCTTAGAATTTTAGCTCTCTCCCATCCATCCTATTGTGTGGTAATGTGTTAATGAATGCAATGCGATTGCTGAGCTTTTTTCTAAATTACTCATCTTCTCGGAGTTAAACATTCTTACCTTAGTTAAATTCTTATATTCTGACAGGCAATCTCACTACTTCCTATCTACTAGTTTGACTTATGTAGTTAGCTTAACTCACAGTCATTGCAGGGTATTTTGTAAATTATATTATTTCATCTAATTGGGTTCACCGGGTCCTTTAACCTCCATACCTTGTCCTACCTGAGTGAGTTTGTAGTTTTGAATACCACTGCCTAATTTCCGCTTTATTAAGAATCCTATGTCAGGAGGGTTTCAGAAGTCTCCTCCTTATATGGTAAAACTAATGTAGATGCCTTATATTTTCTCTTATCTATGCTATCATTATTAGTTT